ATGCTGGCATGGGCCTGAGTCTCAGCAGCTGCAGGGGACACCCTGAGCCCTGGGGCCAATTCATACAGCAAGGCCTTAGGTTTCCTGCATCAGGGAAGAAGCAGATGGGAGCCATTCTGTGGTCTTCCCATAGCTGCACAGACGGTACTTGTCCGGGGGCCTGGTGAGATAGTCAGCCCTTGAGAATAGTGACAGAGAAAGTTCCCACATAGAAACTCCCTGAGGGCTTACTTCTGAGCCAGGTGATCTGCCGTATTTCCTCATCTGTCATTCTTCACTGGGCTTGGTGATTCTGAGTAACACTGTACTATAACACTGCAACAGGCACGAAAAGGTACAGAAATGTGTAAGACATTAAAACCCTTTCTTAAGGAAGCTTCAGCCTAGTGTAGCGCAGCTGAAAGAACACCAGACTAATCATCTGGATGCTGACTCTCTTTGGTCTAATTGTTAACCTTCTCTCTTTACAAAATGGGAATACTAGTGGCTGCTATCTAATTTGCCTTTTAGAAATGTCGAGGATAAAATGAGGCAGTAGTTGTTTAAAGGGGGGAGGAGGCAGGTCAAGGGATGAGCCATAAAGATAGCCTATTAAAATCCGTTCCATACATTGCTGGATTTTTAAAAATTATTTGGATTCGCCTTTTAAGGAGAGAACCGGTAAACACAACAGGATTGAACGCATAAAACAAGGCAACATTTCTCCTCCGGGACTCAAGAAAACTGCAGTGGATGAGGAGCGGGTGGGTAGAACGCACAGTTGTTTCCAGGGCCTCTTTCCTGACTTGTCGTCAAAGCCATGGGCCATTAGTGTTCAGTGGACATGTTGTGGAGAAAGACAAGTTCTGATGCTTAGCACTTACGCACTGCCGTAGAGGTAAATACAGGCATTACTCAGTCTTGAAGAAGAGGATACCAAAAACTGTTTTTGGTGTTAAACCTACTCATAAAGAAAACCAGGCACTCTGTTTATACTATCTATATATAGCATTCCTGGTCAAACAGACTTTTTGTCTTTTGTTTTTGTTGTTGGTTGATAAGCTTTCACTTAAGGTTTAGACACCAAAACCTATAAATGATATCCTTTAAGCTTGTTTTCCACTGTATAGTGAAGGCTGTTAATTGCTTATTTAAGATTTGTTGGGAAACCGGTAGTTTTGGAGAGCCCAGACTCTTACCTCCATATTGAAGAACTGACTTTCTCCAGCATGTTGAAAGTTCTGCCCATTAAATTAGCTATTTACAGTGTGTTATATGACACCTGGAAGACATCATTAAGCACTGTAAATCTGTGGGAGGTAACTGTATCTCACTGAGCAGCTTAAAACATCACAGAGTTCATTTCTTACAGGGAATGTTCTAGAGGCTGTGGAAAAGTTCTTGTCAGCTGCTCTACCTTTTTCTCCCCCCTTAAGGACCACCACATAGTCCTCCTCTTGCCAGTGGGGATGATGTAATTGGATTCTCGGGGAGGTGCTCAGCTAAACTGTGTCCTAGGTTGACCTGGTTTTCCTCCCTACTACCGTGTGCCCAAGTCACATCACTCTCCCCACCCCACACATACATACACACACAAAACTAAGTCTGACTCTTTGAAAGCGGAAAGCCTCATTTAAGGTTACCTTCCTAAGAGGAGGGCATGAAGAGTGCAGATGGATGTGGGTTGAAAATCCCAGCTCAGGCACTTAACTGTAAAAACCTTAGACAAGTTTCTTAATCTTTCTGCTCCTCTGTCTTCATGATTCTTAAAGAGGAAACAACAGTTCTTCCTCTAGAAGATGTTGTGCTAAGTCTAGCATCCTGGTGTGACTGTTCTGCAATGGCTATGAAATGGTCCTACCTCTCCTCTCCTGTTTGAGGCACAGTTTGCAATGTTGGAGAGCCTGGCATGGCTCCATGGAAGCAAAGGGTGTATGCTCTCATAGTGCAGATCTGACCTTCCCATTCTTTGATATGCAGTGTGTTAGCTTAGAAATAAGGAGGGGAGGGACAGATGGCAAGAGCCACCTGCACAGTTCTGACACCGTGGCGCCTTTACCTGGAAGGTCTCACACTGGTGGCTTTTCTAGTTTTGTTTACCTTCCCCTTCCCAAAGGTTTACAGTACTTTTTGAGCCAGAGCCAGTAAGTGTTAGTATGTACTTTGTTCAGAAATTGTGTGCATCTTTTGAAAATTATTTAGGTGTATTTCCCTCCCTCATCCCCCATTCCCTAACTCCAGAAGGGGTCTTGTTAGGTTTGGAAGAGCAGCGGTATTAATTAAAATAAGAAATGCTTACCTGCCGTTGTTTTTTTTGTGGGGAAGGAACAAGTGATGACTGAGGAGCCAGGTGGTTACTTTAAGAAATGAAGATGACATTAGAACCCAGCACTGCTTTGGAGACAACACAGATGGTTTTTGCAGACACTGCATATATCTTGGTAATAGTCAGATCCCAGATAATCTTGAGGCCTTCTCATTTCATTCATTGTGAAATTTGGGTTCGGTTGACCATTGGAGGAGAGGAATACTTACTTCGCCATTCTAGCCAGACATTTTCTTAGGAGCAACCAAGGACTCTCAAACTGTTGTACATACCTGCTGCATCCTAAGAATTAGAGCTGAATTTTACCTTCTGTATGTATTAGAAGAGGGGTTCCTGTTTCCTGACTTACTCCTCTGATGGCCATCAGCCCCTTCATCTTCACAGCCTGATGCCATATGGCCTGCTCTAGAGGTCGGCAGTGACCTCCTGATCACCAAAGCTCGGGCCCTCTTCTCAGCCCTCCATCCTACGTTGTCTTTCTCTGCAGTGTTCATTTATTCTTTGTTCATCCAGTAATGCTTAGTGTGAGTTTCTGGCACTGTGCTGAAAGCCGTGGTAACAAAGAAGATACACAGATGTGATCTTGCCGTCAAGGAGTATACTGTTGATGGGCAGTTACAGTGCAGTGTGGCCAGGGATGTTCTAGGACTTCGTAGAGTGTCTTAGAGTGAGACAGGCAGCTTTGACTCAGATGGGGGGCGGGGGGTGGCTGGTGGTAGGTTGGGAGTGACCTGGACTGGGCACCTGGGGCATCTCTCTCTCTCTCTAAGGTGCTCGTAGACCTGGGTGGTCCAGGTGTGCGTGCTTGTTCGTGCGTCAGAGTCTGTGCAGTAAAGTACACATACTGGCTTAATGGAAATTCTCCCTCAAGGTGTAGTTTTTCATAAAGTAGTGGTTTATTCACAGTATTAATAATGGTCAGAGTTTTTCATTTGGACACCTGAGTATCGTTTGTGTATGTCAATTTGTTTTGACTCTGAGTTAAACTGGTAATCCCTGTAGACAGCTGATCTGTTTGTGTCTCCAATGAGTGCTTGTGAAATGTCTTGTGGAGGCGATTGTCTTCTTTGTACTAACCCGTCTCACTGCTCTCTGAAGGGAGTAGGGCGGTTAGCATGGCTGCTGCCACCTTCATTAGAACCAGTGCAGCACAAGTTTCACGTGAGGCCAGAGTATGTTTGGGGGCAAGGCTCAGTTAGAGTAAGCCCTCCCTTTTCCCTGGGGGTACTTCACATCTGTGTCTGAGCCTTGCTCAGTGAGGGATCAGGCCATTTGTGATCAGGCTGAGGTGTGCCTTGCCTGGATTTCATGCCGTGCCCTGTGAGACGAAGGCCTGTGTTGTGGAGGCTGCTAGGGAACTGGCTATGAGATTGCACCCCCTGTATGGTTTCTGGCAAAGCCAGCCCACCCCGAGCCAGTCCCGAAGACCTCAGAACCGACCAGCACAGCCACACTCAGCCTTGCCTTGATGAAGTCGTGGAGTAGGCTTCTGCCCCTTCCTTGTCCTACATGCCTTCTCAGCCACATCACACCTGCTCCCAGCAGGTGCTCTAGTAACCATGTTGTTTAACTTAGAGGTCACTGTCATGTGTCTAGCAACTCTGTTTTCTGTGAAAAACAGCACTATTGTTTAAGAAGGAAGCTTTGTTTTATTTTTCCTAGGTTGACCCTTAATTTTTTTCAATCTTCTCCTACTGGCCCTCACGTTAATTATTAGCCAGACCTAGTCTGTCCACGTAACTTTCTTCTGGCTATCTCCTCCAGCGTGGGGAGTGGAGAGGGAGCACTAGAGCCTGCCGGTGATCTTACGTTGTGACAGCCAGTTATTTCACCTCTCTAATGACCCATTTGGGTATTTGTTTCTACCCTGTACTTGGAGAGTTTATTGTACTGTAAATGTCCATCTAGATGGGAATGTCTTTGAAAATTAGTATTGCCTAGAAATAATACATAGGCTTTCCTTCTCCCTCTCTCATTGGGGTCTGAATGGTCGTGCATTGTGGAAAGTGTTTGTCACCACTTAGAATTTGTAACCAATAGTGTTACTGTAAACAATAGTGTTAAGAGCCAGTGTCAGTCGGAGATTGGCGCGGACATAATGGCTGATGGCACAGTGAATGTAGCACTTGTCTAGGATTTTTTAATAGTGACTTTCAGTCTTCACCCCCTTGGGAGCTAGTATGAACTGAAGTTACCTTTTATTATTGTTCTGTGTGTGTTGTCCATGCCAATCACAGACCTGCAGGGGAGCAGACCAAGTTGGAATCATTAGACTGAGGAGTGAATGTCACACTTCTAATTTCATTCCCTTTTCAAGGGATTACCAGTGTCCATTTAATAAAATGAGATTAATGCTCTGCAGCAGTATTTGAAAGCTGTCTGTCAGTATAATCTTGACAGCTCAAAAGAAGCAGTGTTCTCAGCACTCTTAGAAACAGTGACATGTTTTATTGGCTGATTTTTCTTAACCACAAGGGATGATACATGTTCGTGTGAGCACATGTGTGTCATGAAGGATAGAGGTGCAGAAAGTGGATCTGAAAGTCTCCATACTATGTAGAAATAACACCATGTAATTTAGTTTTGAGTTGCCAGATACCAGAAATAGCATAAGAAATTATGAGAGCAAAATAAAAAAAATTAAAGAAATACTTAGAAAGCAAACAATGACGTTTCTTTTCTTGACTGTTTTTAGAAAGCCTCGGATCAACTCTCAGCTGGTGGCACAACAGGTGGCGCAGCAGTACGCCACCCCGCCACCCCCCAAGAAGGAGAAAAAGGAGAAAGTGGAGAAGCAGGACAAAGAGAAGCCTGAGAAAGACAAGGAGATTAGTCCTAGCGTCACCAAGAAAAACACCAACAAGAAGACAAAGTAAGTCCCCGGGTAACTTGGTACAGTATAGTATTTTGCAGGTGAATCAGAAGTAACCTTTAAATGCTGCTTTTTGTATTCCCCTTCTTAGACCAAAGTCTGATATTCTGAAAGATCCTCCTAGCGAAGCAAACAGTATACAGTCTGCAAACGCTACAACAAAGACCAGTGAAACGAATCACACCTCAAGGTATTTGAAATGAGAACGAAACACTACATTTGCTGCTCTGATTTACTTAGTCATAATCAAGAACTCAGGGTGGTTGGTGCTTGTGGGTTTCTAGGCTAAGAAGTGGTAAGTGAAGAGCGAGGGTGGAACTGTTAACTTAAAACACAAGTGTGTGTGGCTATGTCTGTCTGAGCTACTTCTATATTGCTGTGGCCAAACCAGAAGAAGGAGAAGTTGCTAGTAATTTTGCAGTGGTCCAAAGCTTGCTAACTCATGGTAGTTTCTGTTATTGCTAAGCTCAGGCAGCAGATTTTGTAGTGACCTTCTATGCGAGCGGTGGCAGTTAGGGTCACTGCCACAGTGGCGTGGAGTCCGTGTGTGTGCTGATGGCGTTCTAGCAGAAGCTGTGTTAGACCCATGGCATATTTACTTGGCTCTCCCCTGCGGTGTTGCTTTCAGGCCCCGGCTGAAAAATGTGGACAGGAGCACCGCACAGCAATTGGCAGTAACTGTGGGCAACGTCACCGTCATTATCACAGACTTTAAGGAAAAGACTCGCTCCTCCTCGACATCCTCATCCACAGTGACCTCCAGTGCAGGGTCAGAACAGCAGAACCAGAGCAGCTCGGGCTCGGAGAGCACAGACAAGGGCTCCTCCCGCTCCTCCACGCCGAAGGGCGACATGTCAGCAGTAAATGATGAATCCTTCTGAAATTGCACATGGAATTGTGGAAACTATGAATCAGGGTATGAAATTCAAATCCTCCACCTGCCCGTGCTGCTTGCACCCCTGAAGAATCTTCTGCGGACATCGACCTCTTAGTCATGCTGCCAGGATAATTCTGCTCGCCATGGGCATCTGGCCACCAAGGAATTTTGCACCCTGATGATTACTCTTGACACTTTTATGTATTCCATTGTTTTATATGATTTTCCTAACAATCATTTATAATTGGATGTGCTCCTGAATCTACTTTTTATAAAAAAAAAAAATCTGCTGTGCACAATTTTCCATGTACATTACAACTGGTTTTTGTTCTTGTTTTGTTGGGGATAGGGGGGAGGGCCGGGAGGGAGAGGGAACTTTTATTTATTGTGTTCACAAACTCCATCCTTTCAGCATATCCTTTTAAGTTTAGTTCTTTCTTCCAGTTATACTATGTACTATCAGTTTTGATATAACTATATATATATATAAATATAAAATTATATATAAAGGGTTATTTGAAACCAATTCATGGCAACGCTGGTGCTTGATACACTGTGAAGTGAATACAACATTGAACAGTTAAAGATCTGGGACACTCCCTTCTACGAAAGTGCTGAAATTAAAGTCAGTCTTACATGAAGTATATTCCAACTCACGTGGGAACTTGACTCATCTGTCTAAAGTGTACTGGACGACATAAAAAAAATTTTTTTTAAACAATGTGATCTCAAATGTAAAGACTGCTCCAGGTAGCCTGCATTTGCAACAGAATAACTGACAAACCACAGGTGGTTTATTTGGGAGGGCTTTGGTCATTCAGAATAACTAAACTAGCTCTGGAATGCCAAGTATTCGTGTAAATCACAGTTAACATGTTACCATTGCCGTTCCTACATAAGCACTCATGAAAACACAGTGTTCTGTAACTCGAATTCCATCCCTTTATCCAGACTCTACTCATGTCTGAGGTGAATCTATCGATCATCTCTTAGTTTGAGGATTCAAACCGTCTGAACTGTATTTGTGGTCTATTCAAGAAGCAAATCGTGCTCCACTTGCGCTCGGCGTTGCAGGGCGGTGTTTTGTCATTGAGATTTGTTTGCCTCATGTCCCCCTTTTCTCATACCCTGCCAGTTCAGTTGTGAGAATTCTTTTTCTTTCTTAAAATCTACTCTTGTTTGTTTCACTAAACGAAGGTTATCAGCTGCGCAGTTCCAACACAAGCTTTGCAATGTTCAGAGACGTTTCTCAATTCCCTGCTGTGGGACGAACTCAAGTGGTGAGGGGTTTAAGCATGAGCCTTCAGTTGCCGGGAAAGCTCTGATTTCCTGCGAGCCTGTGATCATCCTTTTCCTCAACATTTAGTTTTGAGCAAACTCTCTCCTAAGGTTTCTGTTCACTCATTCATTTCATTGTCTTGAAAAGCAAAAAAACCCAAAAACAAAAAAACCACTAGTATGATTCTCCCCTTCCTCATTTTAAAAATGTTTTGTTTTGCTTTGTTTGAACTTAGGGTCTCTTCTATCTGGCTCTTGCACTCAGATCCTCAGAGTTCATAGCCTTCAGAGTCATTTCAAGCATGGGAACTTGATGTTACCTTCCTTTATCTGATCACACATTAGGGACTCATGGGAAGGCAGCCACTTTGTAATGAAGCAGCCTGTTCTGGTGTGAAAAACCTGGTCTGCTTAAGAAAAGTACCTGTTTGTGGAGGCAACAAGTAAAAAAAAAAAAATTAACAGCTTGATTTGAGTAGCCAACAGGAAAGGTTCCTTTCACATTTACATTAAAACTATTCTGTAGTCACTAACGTACCATAATTTAAATTCTCTTTGCAAAGGTATAGATGATAAAGCAGTGCCATTTGTTGCTGTGGTCCTATTCTCAGATGCATGGACAATGTTCCCCTCTTCTTAAAATAATGCTTGTATCTGGGATACAAGCTATGCTTATCTTTTTAAATACATTTTTAAAGTATTTATTAATGAACCAAAGGAAATCAGATGCTTTCTGTGAGCATCAGAATATATAATACATAGTGATTTGACTATGAATTTTAAATCCACATTTTAATATTAGTGGTATATTGCAAAGACATTCCTTCTAAAGTTTTAATATTCCTTTTATTAAGGGTCTCAGGGAGGGTAAATTAGTCAGCCATATTTATTTTCCAGAGATATAAGGAATTGCTACGTTTTTTAATTAACTTTTTTAAAAATTTAAATGCCACCAAACTCATGGGTTGCACTGCTTTTGAACCAATAAGTATTGGTATGCACTTTGTTCAGAAAAACACTGTGTACTTTTTCAAAATTAGTTTCATGTAAAGTGATTGGACCCCTAGATTAGTGGGAAAAAGCTGATTAGCCAGCTACTCATAGGCTGCTAATTAATTCATTGCCAGTGTCGTGGTTTTTCATTCAGTTTTGCCTCCGTGATAAAAATAAGTTGAAGAATGGGGAGGGGAGAAGGAAGGGAGGATTGCTTTAGAACAGGTGAGATGAAATTGCTGTTTCAATAGAAACTGCAGCCAACAGTGGGCTTCTCTAAGCAATGAGACGTTACCAGGCTAGTCCTCTAGCTGCCTTTGTGTGTTCTCTTGAGGTAGCCAGGTGGTAGGTACTTTAGACTTTGAATTTCTGAAATTGATGACACCCCCTCAGGCATGTATTCTGGAAATGGAATTCTTGTAACTTCCGGTGTTTGCAGTTTGCCCTGCAAATTAGTAGGCAGCGCGAAAAACACTAGTGTAGATTATGAAGATATATATTAAAAGAGGACCAGAAATACTTGGTATTCAGCAGCACAGTAAGCAGGTTATAAAAACAAAAACAAAAGCACAGTGTTAACGCTTGCAAGTTTCCATCTGTTTTGATACCACACGATCTTTCACTCTGGTGCATGTGCACACAGAGCTTTACCTGACTTGGCTCTGCTTGAGTCATGCAGTTAAAAAAAAAAAAGTAAAGACATCTCTACACCCAGAAAATATTTTAATCAAAACCTTTCAGTTTCAATCTGGATATTTAAAAACATTGGCAGAAGCTTCTGTGAGTTTAGTTCCACTAAGGTGTTTCACCTGCCTTATCAAGACCATTCTCAGTCTACTTTTTTAAGCTACGTATCTTAAATTATTGAAAATTTAATTGCTGAATATATAATAACCTTTGCTTGTATGTAACCGAAAATGGTTTAAGAGCCAACATTTAGAGTATGACAATGGAGCTGAACAGTTTTTAATGCGCAAGCAGTTCTGTTCTTGTGTATGACTTGTAACCTTAATTTACTGTGTAAAGATGGTTACATTATTTCCTTAGCTTTGTTTGTTGGAGACAAATAGAGAATGCTTGTTAAGTATGTCAAAACATAATCTTATCTTGTGAATTTTTGTTAATGTATTATACGAGCTATATTTTTCATTTGCCCAGAAAGACAGCTTGTATAACGCTTTGGGAAGTTTCTGCTCTGTAATGTCTTTAGAGCTGACAGTCTGTTAGGTTTGTTTTTTTTCTTCATGCTAAAGTGTCAGTTGGTGGTTTTGTGAACTGGTCAGAAATTCACAGGTCTTAAATGTTTTGGGGAAATTTATATTGGACACTGCTCTTTGTGTAGCAAATAAAAGATGTTAATATATTCCTGTTACTGGCATGTGCACGACTATGTTATTAGAAGCCACTTTATCATTTTCCTGCTTTAAATAGAAATGTCTATTTATGAATTCTGCTTGTAGTTTTTTCACAAATAAAATAGTAAAATTTACATTGAAATCTTTATTTTTGTGTGTGTAGATTTTAACCCTTAGGAAAAAAGATACTTAGTTGTATCTTTTTAACTTGTGGAATATTTCCAGTGGGAATAGGAGGCTAAGATTCGAGTCATTGATCAGAAGCTGAAGTTGATTTGGGTAGTAATGTCTCAAACTGCAGCAGGAAGTATAATTGAAGGAAAGTGGTTGAATTTTGGAAGAAAATACCACAAAGTGTGACTTTTGAGATAGGGTGCAGTGATTTAAAGAAGTAAATGGTGAAGATAGCTAACAATTGCTAATTTAGTGTATGACTCGACACCTCTAAAAACAACCATTTCTAGCCAACTGTATAGTTCAGTAAATTGTGACTTGGAGGTAAATGAAATGAAGTGTAAACCCTAAAAGCCACACAAAGCTGGCGTGTTGTGCCATGTTATGGAGACTGCTCGCTGGCAAGGCCACAGTGGGTACAATAAATTTCCAAAGAATAGAGAGACCTGCATCTGTACTTGAACTAGCATGGAAAGGGAGAAAGAATAAATAGTGCAAAGCCCTAATTTGGAAATGAGTTTGTCGTGGTAAGAAAAAAGAGCAAACTCCTTTCTCCATTTTCCTTACTTCCCTGTACCAAGTTATAATCCAGGTCTGGCTCCTCTGACATCTCTGATTTGGAGGGGTGGAAGGTCAGGGAAACGATGGCGTCTCTGATGTTTCCCAGCAGCTGTTATGAAAGCAGGTGGGCGGTCAGCTGTAACCCCACCCTTCAGCTTTCTCTGGTACCTGAGGATTTCTCTGACAGGCTCCACTGCTGGTGGCCCTGGCATCACCCTTGGGGAAGATGGAGGCAGCCTCTCACAATAGCTGTAGGTGTACAGCAAGCAGTTGGCCCTACACTGAATGTGCAATGGTGTCTTTTAGAAAGAGCGGATTCTCTCAGTTGGGAGGATGAGAAGGAAGGCGAAGGCGTCTCTCTTTTGTCTCAGCTAAGTCCCAGTGTTGACGCATATGTAGACCCCCATTGAGGAACACCATGGCTAGGATGTGACTCTGTTGTGAGAAGCTCTCGGTGGATTGATCTTGGTTAGGGGTAAAATGATGTCTTAAACTTGGAAGTGCCCAGGCTCGTACAGAAAGACTCAGAGCCAGCCTTGTGTTAGGATTAAAAATGCTTGATCAAGGTCCTATTTGCTACTCATCAAAAGAAGCCAGGGTCGGATCTGGTGCCCTTAATGGCATTTGTCAGGAAGGTACCATCTTTTTCCCAGCAGCCTGTACTTCGTTAACTGCAGAAGAAATGGACTGAATATTGCAGGGGAGAGCTCTGATTTTCCTAGAAGAGACCAGAGGACATGTCTGGAAGGACAGGGAGGGGCTCCGGTCTACGGAGACCCCAGAGTGAAAGCAGATAGGCAGGTGTGGGGTTTCACCTGGTAAACCTGCCTTCACTCCAGACATTACCCACGAGGCTGGGACTGGGGCTCATCATAAGGTGTCCAGTGCTGGGTGCTTCCATCAGTCCAGGTACTCGTCCAGTGTTGTGTCAAAACCCGCAAATGGGGATGAGTGTGTGGAGAGGAGGGCACTGACTGAAACTGGCCCCTTCCTGCAGGAGCTTCTGACCCAGAAGTGGCAAATGAGTGACACCACCCACAGCTCTTCTGCACACTTTGTGCTTGTGCCAAACATGATGAATCGGTCACAGTGCCCTTTTGTTCAGTTGAATTCAGATTCAGAACCTCAGCACAGCTCTACAGGCATCAGAGCCCCACGTTCCTGTGAGTTCCTGAAACTCATTTGCCATCCCTGCTTGAACCAAACCCACCCAAGGCAATTGCAGAACCCGGCAAGGCCGTTTTCCACCAACTCTTCGATCATGGGGCCCTCCCTGGAGCCACAGAATTCCAGAAGGAAGGCTGGGCAAGCACCTTGGAGGAGTCCAGGAGAAGAGACAACTAAATATCCAACGGTGACTTTTCAAAAGGCTCAACTTCCTGTTCAGAACAGGACCAGACGAGGAGGCCGGTGTGGAGCGTGGAGCTCTAAATGCCAGACCCACAGGCCTGCCAGCTATGATGGGTGTCACCAGGCAGGCCAGTCCGGGACCTGCCCAGGCTGTTGCACCGGTTCTGCCAACCTCAAGGACTCGAAAATAACAGGGCAGAACCCCAAACGGATGTGATTCCTGGAAACAACAGGATGCCCCTTTGGAGTCAGAACTGGGAGGGCTCCCACCCCAGTGACTGCGTGACCTTGGGCAAGTCCGCCTCCCTGGCTCCTTTCGTCATCTCTGGAACTCACCCTCTCCTACCCTGTTTTCTCCTCCAAGGGGCCACAGGCCAGTGCCCCAGTGGTGGCCTGTGTTTGGCCATGATCTGAATGATGGGGAGCAAACTATTTCCTGAACCATTCATTGTAGTGCTTCACTGATGTCAACACTGGGGATGAGAGAGGGGTTTGTTTTCTTTTGTGATCATTTAAAATAATCATTTTTTTATTTTCGGAGCCCAGTAGAAGGAACAGTTGGTTGAAAGACACATGTAAATGAAGTCCAGGGGTATTTTTGACAGCTGCTTGGTGTTTCTGTATCTGCAAACTGTGTTGCAATGAATATGGCTTTTCTTCATTGAAGTTTTGATTTTTTTAATCAAAAAATTGATTAAACATCAATAAAACTGATGTTCATTACCCTCCTATTAAAAAAGAAAAAAGTTTAGAGGAATGGGATACATACACATACTTGTGCATATATATGTGTATTTACACATAGGTACTTACTAATTGAGAAGGGGATTTTTCTCTCCATGCATAAATGTCACAAGCTCCCAGCATAGAGAAGTTGGAGCTACAAACCAATAGATCAGCCACAAATATACTTATGGAGAGTGAACTCTATATGAGAACCACTTTTTCAGCCTTAGCAATTCAGCGATCACAGCAGCTCCAGAATGAGGAGAGCTCCATGGTTGGAAGCAAAGAGATATATAAATTGTATTCGTTGCCTCTTCACATTTAAAGGAATTGGTACCCGTTTGGAGACATCTGCTGTGGAGGTATCTCACAAGCTGAAATTATAACATTCTGCCGGAGTGGAAAATGTGCGAATTTGAGAAATTCCCAAGAGGCAGGACCCTCTAATAAATTACACTGTAAAATTCCCGGCGACTCCTGCGTGCAGAGATTATCCTGACAATGCAGATGAAGGTAGCAAACAAATGGGGTAATAAGGGGGAGAATTGCAAGCAACCCCATTCATCTCAGAACAGTCAGCAGCTACTGGGGCTGTTAATCATGTCAGGGACAGATGGGCCAGGGCCTGTGCGGCCAGCAAGAGCCGGGGGCCACTTTGGTGGGCTGCTGAGCAGAGGCTGACCAGGCTCACTGCTGTTTGCAGAAGCCGGTAAACCTCTAGGGGAGACTTAGACCCCAAAGGCGATGGAGTGAACTGGGAGTGGACATGTGAGTGGTGGGGTGACAGTCCACTGTAGGGCCTTTTTTTATATTCCCAGTCCTGTGACATTTCCTTGTTTCATTGAGTTTTTGTAAACCCATTCTACTCAACATGGACAGGCATCATCGTAGGAAAATTTAGGTGCCTTTCCTGTGTTAACTCATTTAATCCTCCCAGTAATACTACCGAATACATCAGGGGTGGTCAAACTACAGCCCACGGCCCAAATCCATCCCTGCTGCCTGTTCTCGTGCAGCTCCGGAGCTAAGAATGGTCTTTACATTTTTAAATGGTTGAAAATATATATATTTTTAATTTGTGACAAGTGAAAATTACATGAAATTCAAATTACAGTGTCTATAAATAAAGTTTTATTGGCACCCAGCCATGCCCATTTGTTCATGTATTGTGTATGGATGCTTTCCCACTACAATGGCAGAGTGGAGCTGTGACAGACTGTGTGGCCTAAAATATTTATAATCCGGCCTCTTATAGAAAAAGGGTACTGGTGCCTGGAATATATGCCCATCTGTCACTTTCAGTGGGGTAAGTGCTGACATACCCTCAGTGTCCAGAAGTGTGACTGGTGGAGTTGGCACTATGTCAACGGCTGTGGAATGAAGGAATCGCTGCCTGTCTTACAGATGAGGAAACCCCAGTGCAGAAAAGTCAAGGAACTTGGCCTAGGTCACCCAGTTAGTAAGTGAAGGAATCAGGATTTGAATCAAAGCTGCCTAATCCAGATTCCTAGCTGCTAGTTTTCAAGAAGCTGAATAGGCAGCTTGCTCCAAGGTATGTTCCTTGGACCACCAGTCAGGCCAGATGCTTAGTTGTAGCCAAACAAATTTGGTAAATGCTGTTACATAGACAAGCTCTCTTGGAGTTTCACAGTGATCGTTAGCATATCAAAGGCTCTGAGAAGTCCTGCAGGAAAAAAAAACATTTAGCTTTCTTTAATGTGGTGTTTGTAAAGCTTGTTTGACCTACCTTCTACCAACTGATACAATTCCCAGGAAACACTAGTGAAGACTTGGAGTTAAGACATACTTGGTACAAATTGCATCTTTGTGACACTGAGAAAATTACTGAGCTTCTCTGAATTGGTTTCTCTGTAGAATGGTGAGATAGCCGTACATAAGGGTTTAGTGAGCTTATGAGTTCCCTGCTCTTGGTAGATGCTCACTCAATGTCAGTTCCCTGCCTGGCAGGGTGTCTGTCTCAGGTGTCCTGCCTGCCATTTCCTACCCTACAGGCCACATTTGGAACCCCAGTAGCTTTGCAAAAAGGAATAGCTCATTTTGCCTTCAGGTACCTATTAGTTAGTTAACAGACATAGGCCCATTTAGAGCTATACAGTGGAACCCCCAGGGCAGAAGAGGGCAGGTTCTGGCATCCTAAGGCAGCCAGGAAAATACCCTTGGAATGAGTGCACAGGGAGCTGGTGGCTGGGCGCCAGGGCGGGAAGCATGCTCTCCGCCTTGTGGGTTTCTCATCCGTCACTCTGGGGAGATCTTACTGGGTCCTCTGGCTGTCAGCAGTGCTCTTGAATCCGTTCGGATATAAGTCACACTCCTG